AGCCCTGCCGGGGTGAAGGCTTGGGAGGCTCCGGCAGCTTCGGGGCAGGGGGCTCAGGGGCATTTCGAGCGGGTCTTTCACAAAGACCCTTTTAAGAGGAAACCAACACTATCTCCTGGAGATACCTCAGGCTGTTGAAATAAGCATTGAGAAAAACATTAAGTTTTGTGCTACCCTGGGAACAAGGCTTGCACAGACACTCCTACTCTCAACATGCCCTGTGGGGAGGGAAGAAGAAACATTTCAGACCCACAAATACCTAGAGTTCATTGGATACAGAGAAAAAGCCTGGTAGGACTCAAAGCGGCCTTTGGAGGCTGCAGCGGAGTTCCATGCATTGCATAGACAGTGGTTCCAGCCCTGTAGTCTGGAGCAGCTCTCTGAGGCAGAGGCTTGAGGACACTGTGGGTACGTCATTCCCTCTGAGAACTTCCAGCAAGCAGTCAAAATCTGTTTTCCAATAAAGGAAAAGGTCATCTTTCTGAATTAATGCTGGAGAAAAGCCCTTTTCCTGCCGTCTCAGATTTAGCCCTAGGGTGCCATTGGATTAAACAGCATACAGCCTCTGTGAGCCCACATTTAACGTTTTTCTGGTAGATTTGATCCCTCGCTGGTGTCTGCAGAAGATGAAGGTATGCTCTGAGAGGGAAGATGGCTTTGAATCAAAGAAGGGGTAGACACCCCCCCCCACACACACACCCCATTCTCTGAAACAAGTACACACATTTGAAGCTACTGCACAGCTCAATCCATTGTACCAACTGGGATCAAAGTTAGCCCCCTGGGATGGCAGAAATAAGGAATTGTGACTCCAAAGAGGACTCAACCACCCTGTCCCTGCAGTCACGGAGGCAGAAGCAGCACCAAGTGTCCCAGGACAGCCACTTGCACCTAAGCAGGCAGGCAGCTTCAAAAGTTCAAATGCAGATCGATTTCATATACTGCTTTGTAACAGATTTGCTTCGGATCAGAGGGAATCCCTGTTACTGGAGTGTGATGGACCCATAGGAAGAAGAAGCCCTTCTGCAAGGGAGAGCTGAAGACAAGGTTTTGCCCAGGGACTCTGCTCAGGAGGACTACATCTTTTCCTTGAGCTGCCCCTGCTACACCAGATCCCGGCACCCTCAAATCGAATAATGAAACAACAACTTGGGCTTCAATGCCCACGATCCTTGTGAGTTTCACTCCTCCACTGTCACTGGTCTTCTGGAATATTATAAAGACCTAGCTAGAGCTGGAGAGATGGCTCCGAGGTTAAGAGCACTGACTGCTCTTCCAGAGTTCCTGAGTTCAATTCCCACCAACCACATGGTAGCTCACAAATCGTCTGTAATGAGACCTGGTGTTCGCTTCTGGCCTGCAGGCATAAATGCAGACAGAAAACTATATACATAATAAATACATCTTTAAAAAAAAAAAGACCCAGCTCTCGCATGTTTTTTGAACCCTTGTTCATGAAATCACTGAAGAGGACTTTTCCTTTCAGCCTGCAGTGTATCTGCCCCATAATGATCTGCAGGTTGACTATGTATAATGGGGACAGTGGGCTCTCTCTGCATCGGTGTTACATTTTTTTTTTAAAGAGTAGCACTATAAAGGGAAAGTTAGGGTTTGAAGGTTTGAGCAAGAACCATTCAAGACAAAGTAACCCCTGTCCCCAAAGGGTATTACCTAAGTCTTCTCTCAAGTGCATCAGAAAGTACGGCCATAGGAATCACAGACTGGGTCTCTATATTTTTCATCCAAATTGTGAGATTAATTATTGCTTTCTGTCCAGTGTTATATTCTATTACCCAGGCAAAGGTACCTAGAAACAACAGATAGTTTGCAGGTGTCCAGGGCTGGGAAAATACAGCGGGTCAGAGAGCAGTTTGGTTTTAAAAGACTCTGATGACTCAGTGAGACAACTGTGGGGCATTTGCTATGAAAAACTTTTTCATACTGAAAAACAAATTATGAATATTGCATGGGTAGTTCGACTGTGTGATTCATGTTTGAAATTGGTTTTTCTAGTAATTTTTCTATAACCTTCCAAAAGTATTGAAGTTTGTATTCACCTATTAATCGAATTTGAAAGCCCAAATCAAATAAGAAAAGACTGCCTTCCACTGAGAGAAAAAATTGTAATTTCGGGGGCTGGAGAGATGGCTCAGAAGTTAAGAGCACTGGCTGCTCTTCCAGAGGTCCTGAATTCAATTCCCAGCAACCACATGGTGGCTCACAACCATCAGTTATGAGATCTGGTGCCTTATTCTGGTGTGCAGATATACATGGAAGCAGAATGTTGTATACATAATAAATAAAATCTTTAAAAAAATGTAATTTCTCTGACCACAGGGCATTGTGCAGTATTGATGATTTATAGTCAGTCTTCTTTTTGCCCCAGGGAAAGAGGCTCTAGAGTAAATCAAGGCCTCTAAGATAGTTCTTCAAAGGTCAGAGTTAAAGGATAGTAGTAGAATTGTGAGCAGAGCCCTCAGTATTCATCTGGGATGAGTGCTGTAACTTCAGGCAGACATGCAGTTGGAGATTCGAGTGAGCTTTTATTTCTAAGCGGACATGTTCATGTCTTTTCTCTGAAGGTCTCAGCACTCACTGTGAGGTCAGATACCGGGGTGCAGCTTCCTCCTGGCTGCAGCTCTGGTCTAGGCTGCAGCAAGCATGTGGAGTCTGTGCAGAGCGGGTCCAGGGCGGCCTGACAGCTGAGCTGTGTGCAAGGCGGCGGGAGATGCAGGGGGAGGGACGGTCAGTGGGGCGGGGACACTGGAGCAGAAATGGCAGGCGGGGGGAGTGGGGTGTTTGTGTGGGGAGAACTAATCAAGAAAACAAGCCATACCCCTCGTAGGCGATTTTTGCAACAGCAACGTGACCCAAAGTGGATTTCTTTCTTTTTTTTAAGTGGGAGGATCTAGGTAGATCCGTTTCCACGGAACCCGGGTGAAAGGACCGGAAATTCCTTCCCTCCCTGTAGGACTCCGGAAGTCACGCGCTGC